AAATAACATTCTTAACCAACACTGATGGGAAAATTCTTAGGAATTAAGCCCAGTAAAATGAGTTTCTGAACATAGAAAAATAATACATTCAGTGAACATTTTTTTCATGAATTGGAGCGCACAACAGGCCCGATAGTGGCCTAGGTGTATTTCTTCGGATTTGATGTAGTATACATCCTCCTATCAACCTAACCTAACCCTAAATAAAATGTATTAAACAATACATAATTCTTAAAAGAGATTAAGTATGTTGGCAAATTAATGTTAGATCTGCAGTTACATTATTTTCTATTTAGAAAATTGTCTTATCTTGAAGAAAACATGACATCTTTTATGGTGAAATAAGTACATACGATTAAAACAAATTGGACACATTTATTACTCTTACAAAAATGTTTTACATTTCACAAAAAGGTAAAACAAATAGATAAAACGAATTTACATATTTTATTGTGTTACATTAATTAAATCATAAGTTTCCATTTGAAAAAGACAGAAGTCACACACACATATTAACACACGATCTTTTCGAGGAAATCCGTTAAAAATCTGTTTAAAGTAAGAGATCAAAATTAAATTTGAACAACAAAATTTTAAAATTCAACAGCTCTGATAAAATATTGTAGCACACAATTTTTGAAAAAAATATTAAAATCCCATTTTTGCTCTTAAAAATTAACTAAACGATGTGATCGGGAATTATTAAAAGTATGTTCGTATTTTATGGACTATAACGAAATAAAATTGGTATTTGGGAATCCCAGCATTTTTTGGTGTATCACTATTCTTCTTAAACGATAATCTTAATAATAGAGATATCGCCTTAATTATAGAGATTTCGGACAATAAGCTATTGAAATACATATATGAGCAAATATCAAAATTTTTTAATTTCTTTGAAATTGAACTAAATTGTTAATAACTTTGATAAGAATAAAATGTCAAATAATTTTTTTACAGGATTATATACACAAAACTTCCAGTTTAAAAATTGCAAAATTGTAAAACTCTAGGTCAATATATCTCGAAACGTAATCGGTTTTGGAAGTTTACAAAATTAAACAAGTAGGAAAGTATAGTCGGGCATGGCCGACCATACCTACACCATGAGTATATTTTAAACATTTTTATTTTTCACAAAGAAACTTTTATGTTGAATTTTACCTTAATTCCAAAGTATTAAGCAATTTATTGATAAAAACTAATTTTCTAAATGAGGCTTTATATAGGAGTATATGTCAAACATGGGCCGGTCCTCATTAAATTTGGGAAAAGGATATGTTTTTAAATAATAGTTAATTATGTTGAGTTTCATTGCGATACAAATGGTTACAAGTCAATTTTAGACGTTTAAGACATTTTTTGAAGGGGGGTTTGTATGGGGGCTAGGGTCAAATAAGGGCCGATCATTACGAAAATCTGCAGTGTCATTTATACTTATATAAAACTTATTTGTGCCAATTTTTAGAGAGATAATAGTCAAAGATACTATTATCGTAATTATGGCATAAAAAGCCCAAATCGGGAGGTACGGTTGTATGGGGGCTAGGTGAAATAATGGACCGATTTCAACCATTTTCAATAGGCTTCGTCCTTGTGCCAAAAAAAAAGGCTTGGTCTTCATCAAATTATCTTGAAAATTGCGGCCTGTACCTTGCGCACAAGGTTTACATGGACAGCCAGCCAGCAAGCCAGCCAGCAAGCCAGCCGGACAGACGGACGGACGGACATGTCTTAATCGACTCAAAATGTCGATCTGAGTCGATCGGTATACTTAAAGGTGGGTGTAGGACCAATATTTTTGTGTGTTACAAACATCAGCACAAACGTATAATACCCTCCCCACTATAGTAGTGTAGGGTATAAAAAATCGTGTGTCACTAACAATTTTTTTCACCTTCTTTTTATGTTTTTGTCCATAGCTTTAAACTTTTGGACACTATTCGCTGTTGTACTAACTAAAGACACTTAGGAGATAAATTCTTTACAAGCTTATCCGTGTGACATCACTTTACGTACTAGAACTTGGATGTTGAAATTTGTCACCAGGTTTTTTCCAATTTTGAATTTTTTACAGTTTTTTTGACCGGGTTCGGACGCCTCTTAATAAAATACAAAAATTGGGACAACAATGGTTAGCTGATGTAATTATGTATGTGCCCTGAATAGGAGATGGGTACGACAGCTACAAAAGTTGGAAAACTTGAATGCAAAAATTTTATGAACTTTTAAAAAATTTTGTAAAATTTAATTTTTTTTATTTTTGCGGTTTTATATATCAAATATCGATTTATACAAACATTCAATGAATAGACATGAAGATAATGACAAACACAATGGTTTGGGATCATAAATGTATTTAAAATGTCCTTGTAAGCTACAAAGACCTCACTTTTATCTAAACACATTTTGTGAAGGCACATCACGGATGATGCTCAAAATTCGTCAAAATTATCACCATTTGCAAGTTTCCTTTTAATGTACTTTATTGTAAAACTGTGGCGCATCAAAAAAGTAAAATAATTATAGGTTTTGTGGGCCAAAATGTACCTAGCATCAAAAAGTATCACTCTATAAATATTTAATTCCTTGAAACTATAATTTTTTAATTGCATTCCCTTATAAATCAAGCTCGTAGAATTCAGATAATAACAGTTTTTTTTCTTAAATTTCACTAGTTCGCGATTTTTCAAAAACTATAAGCAACAAGTTAAAAAAATACTGAAATGAAATTTCTTGCTGTGTATTTTTAAAATTTTTGAAATTAAATTTTATACGCTGAATTTAAATTATTTTTACAATTATGTGCAATTTTTTTCAAATATAACATATATAAATACTATTTTTAAGAATTTTTTTAAATATTTAGGTGAAAACCGCTATAACTTTTGCGCCCCTCGATCAAAATGATTAACGCGAACGGATTCATCACGTGTTAGGGTCTGTTTATATTCACACAAAATATTTAGAATGTGCCATCAAAAAGTTTTTTTGATTTTTTTTAACTCTAAAATTAAAGAACTTTGATAACACTATGTGACAAAAATAAATACCTGGGAAGTGATACTATTTATCTGAAAAGTGGATCCGAGTAGAATAATATTCTATGAGCAATTATAATTGCTCATATAATATTATTTTGAAGCAGAGATTCTAAGCTTTATTTGATATTAATATCAAAACCAAAATTTTTATATAAATTTGGAATTCCATTTTTTGAAATCGTATGTCCTTTAAACTTTAAGGTCCTTTTACAGGAGCATAAGAGCTGATTATGAAAACCAAATTACACAGAGTACACATAGATTCCTGTACACATAGATTTTTTCATGACTGTTGCACGGTGTTACATATGTTTTGTTAATATAATTGAGACAGTAAAGTAATTCTTCAGTAAATCTCGAATCTACATAGGATGTCTACGATCTGGAAAGTTTTCTTAAAGCTAGTTTAAACGAAAATAATTTCCGTAGAACAAATGTCGACTCCATAGCGCTTTTACAAAACCAGTTTCGAACAATAAGCTATAGGATTACAAGCTATTATGCATGTTTGATTTATTAATTGTTTAAAAAGATTTCATATGAAATCAAATAATTCAAAAGGTTTAAGAAAAATATTGTATTAAACAGTAAAATTAATAAAGAGGCAGATATCCAGTTTCGGTTATTAACGGGCTAAGATAAAAACTCAAATAATTATTTGCGAATAAACGATTAAAACCAACTCCCGAATAATGAAATACTTACATATAGAAAAATAGCAAACTTCTTAAAAGAATGACTGTTAGAATTACAAATACTTGGATCCCGGAGATATCCAGAAAATTGTTTTCAACAAACAGACAGACGGACATCGATATATATAAGGATTCAACATACAGATGTGCAAAGCTCAATCGTCTTTAATACATTTTAGAAAATCTTTAAGAAAATCTGCATGTAATTTATGGACATTAAATAAGGGAATAAAGTAGTAAAAAATTAGGTCAATATCTCTCACAAATATGCGATACCTAACATTGTCATCCCATAAACTATGAAGGTCAAACTCAAACTATGCAATATCGGGAATTTTTCTTGAAACCATAGTGAAATATTATTTAGTTTTCAACCGATTTTAATGAAACTCTTTTCAGATCTTCGTTTCGTTGGCCTGTGTAATTTTTAGGCATTTCTATGAAAAATACTCTATCGATTAATATTATTTATACAAAATGAATATTTTCATTCTAGCGAATTTTCGAAATAAACAATTTTTTTCTGCTCTCCTCGATATAGAAACATTTTGATAAACAATATTTTTTTTTTATAAAATTGTTTAATGGAAAACTTGGTTATAGAAAATGTAGCTATTGGAAAAGTGTTGATACTAATAATTCAAGAATAAAATTGACACTAATTTTCTTTTGCTTTGAAATTCACATGCCAATTAAATATAATTTCAACATTGACTTAGGAATCTACGAACTGTTATTAAAGTTAATAATGGTTTACAAAACAATTTTGCAGGACAAATGCGTAATAGTTTATGGACAGCGACGTGTTGTTTTATAAGTTTGCAAGACAGTAAGTACCAAATAAATTTTTAAGGAATGTTCCAAATTTGATCATTAAAGATTCCGGAGAATTTAAAACAAATTCACACATATTAACCAAAAGCTTGCAAAACTATTTTCTAAAATTCTTAAATGACTCTTTTAATAAATAATAAAACGATTAATTTATTTAATAGTAATTTCTAAAAAAAATCCAATATTTAGTAAAGGGCACAATAAAGAATAAATAAGATCAACAACACATGGCAGAATCTTAATATAAACGTGAGGAAGAGCAGCAAGCACCAGCTGTAGCAGTAGCAGAAGCAAGATCGGCGAAACGCTTTTTTGAAGCACACAGAGAATAAGTAAAAAAAATAAAGAACCTCAACGCAATACAATTTTTTTATTTATTTCTTATTTTTATTTAAATTTTTTTCTGTTTCTTTTAATATTCACTCACTCATACACACAAACAGAAAGTAAATGATTAAAACAATTTTTACTTTTTTATTTTCAAAACAATTTTTTGTTTATTTCATCTTAAACATCATCAATTTAAAATATTTTAATTGAAATTAAACTTTTATTTATTTGTACTCGCACCAGATATTTGTATATTTATATTTTTCATACACTTTTTTTCTTAATACATAATTAATATTTCATAAATTACTTTTTATTATTATTAATTATAATTATTTTAGATTTTTAGTTTTGTTTTCTTTCTTTGAGCACTCAAGTGATTATTGTTTAAAACCACAATGTTTAATTAATAGACAGACGAACGACGTCAAGTTAAATAGAACAAAATGCAAAATTTGCAAATGAAAATTTCGTTTCGTTTTGTTTTTTAATAAAAATTTCTTTAATTTTAATAACACGGTTGGATAGCGCACCGTATTAAATTATTTTCTATGTTTTATTTTTACTTAGTAAGTGAAATAATAAATTGAAATGTTTATTCAGTATTTTTTACTTAGTATTTTTTTTTTTTTTTTATACGTAGAACGACCGAAAGGAAAATTTAAAACCACTAAACACGGCGAACTCCAATTTACAAATGAAATTTGTTTCACATGCCGAGAGAGCTCCAACTTTGAAAATGTGTGAAATAATGAAAAAAAAAAATAATAAAACTAAAACAAAAACGTATGAGATAGAATATAAAATTTTTTTCTCCCCTTCTCTCACTGGAGTTTTGTTTTGATTTCATTTTATTTTGCGTGTGTTCGTGTGTTTTGTTGTATTTTTGTTTATATTACGGTGGGGGTATTATTATTATTATTATGTATTTTCATTTTCTCCATTATTCTGACATTTTGCACTCAGCTGTTTTGGGATCTGTCATCTGAGCGCCACAAAAAAAAGGGGAGCAACAGATAAGCAGAGAAAGCATGCATATGACACTACGTCAGAGTTGTTACAGTAGAAAATAGTGTTGCCAGTTGAAATTTTGTTAATGAAACAGTTGATTTTTGTTTCTAATTTAAAAATAGGAAATTGCAACATATTTTTATTTCCGGAAAAACTTAATATCAGATTAACAAATATCGATTATATATAAATAATTTTATAGCACTCCATCTCCGTTTATCGTTTAACCGGTAGATATGCTGCCGGTTAAAATAATTGTAAGAAAACCAAACACTGAGATAATGGGGGTAAAAAATATCTGCTATAAAATGAGGAAATATGCAAACAATTTTTTTTTTTAATTTAATTGTTATTTATAAACTTTTATTTTTGAAAATAATTCGGTATCTCTGCAACTATTGGAGATATCGTAACGAAATTTCTCGAGGTTAGAGCAGAGGTTTAAAATAGAACTACTCCTTGAGAAGATTTATAAAAATCAAAACGCTTACATGTGTGAGTTATCTCGTTTACTTCAAGAAATATTTTGGTTTAATTTTTTTTCTTTTTAAAATTTCCCGAACTTTTTATACCCACCATCAAAAAAGATAGTCAGTCAGTTTCTTGACTCCTAAAATTAAATTCTGAATTATAGTGGTACCGAATTCTTTGTACTTTTGAACTAAATAAAAGAGGATCAGTTCATGATTGACCCTAACCCCCATATAAGGTCCCCTGCAGAAATTACTTTAACGCTCATTACCAGCTTAAAAATAACTGTATTATGACGAAACTCGCCATAAACAAGTTCTGTACGACCCCAAACATCTCTAATAAATTTTGTGGTGATCGGTCCATAATTGACCCTACCCCCATATAAGGTCCCCATCAGAAAATTGTTTTATCTCTTATTACTGGTATAAAAAACCGAGTTCCGCGATGAAATTCGAGGATCGGTCTATAATTGGCTTTATCCTCTATATAAGGACCTCATCAGAAAATTACTTTAACGCTCATTACTGGCTTAAATACAGCGATGAAATTCGACATGAATACGATTTGTATAAGCCAAAATCGTTCTACAAATTAAACGATGCTCCGTTCATAATTGATTCTACCCGCTCATATAAGGATACCCCCTATGAAGATCAGTCCATTATTAACCCAAACTCCGTATAAGGTCCCTTTAAGAAAATGACTTTAACGCTCATTACTGGCTTAAAAATACTAGTAGATCTATGAAATTTGACATAAATAAGGAACTGAAATCTTCCTGCCGACTTTACTGAGAATTGGTCTATATATAACCCTACTCCCTATATAAGGTCCCCTTCAGAAAATTTTTACAACTCTCGTTAGTTACTTACATAAAACTATGAAATAAGATACAAATACAGCGATGAAGTTCGAAACAAATAACTGATGTATAAACAGATGAGAATAGGAGCATAATTGACCCTACCACGAATATATGTAACTCCTCTTACAAAAAAACAACACACACATATAAAAATTGAACAAAAATGCTTTGTTTTTAAAAATTGATATTTTTTAATTCGATAGTTAAACCCTCATTAATGGACCTCCGTGATATACATATGTCCCTGATGTTCTTATTAAAATCCATATATGGTAATGATTTGATGGTGGGTATTTAAGATTCGGCGGGTCTACGAAGGATCGAAAATTGTTTTAAAACATAGGGTCTGTTCAATAACTAAAAGTTGTTACTACACAGAGAAAACAGATTCATTGTGACAACCGAATTTGTTTCCAATCGAATTCAGTCGGTTCTCACAACTATGCCATAATTCGATTGTAATTACTGTAAAATTCGTTTACTATTACTGAATATATGGTGTACACAGGTAGGTAGGTAGGTAGGTTGATAGGAGGATGTATACTACATCAAATCCGAAGAAATACACCTAGGCCACTATCGGGCCTGTTGTGCGCTCCAATTCAAGAAAAAAAAAAAAAAAAAAAAAAAAAAAAAAAAAAAATTGTTCACTGAATGTATTATTTTTCCATGTTCAGAAACTCAGTTTCCTGGACGTAATTCCTAAGAATCTTCCAATCGGTGTTGGTTAAGAATGTTATTTCTGGAATAACATCACTTCCAAGATACTTGGATCTAACTTCGACGAATGCCTGACAATGGCAAAGAAAGTGCTCCAGAGTTTCACTGTCCTCTCCACATGCTCTACATTCGTCTGAATTCGCACGTCCAATTTTGTATAGATGTGCTCGTAATCCTGTGTGTCCACTGAGAATACGTACCATCATACTAACCTCAGACTTGCTCATTTTGAGAAGATTTCTCGTCTTGCTCTCATCAGGGTCACCCCATAGAATCTTTGTGGTTCTACCCACCGTTTCATTATTCCAAGAGGCCTTATGGGATTCTCTCATCCATATTTTTAATTCAGCTTTTGTTGCGTCGAATGGTTTTGCGTTTGTCAGGTTAACTACATCGAGCTCCCTTCCCTTTAAAGCTATTACATTCGCCCTTTCGTTGCCGGCTACTCCCGAGTGGCCTGGTACCCATATGATGTGAACCTTACCTCTGGGAGAGTATTCAGTTAAAGCTTTCTTACAATCCAATACGGTCTTAGATTTAATTCTATCACCTGATATCGCACAAATTGCCTTCTGGCTGTCGGTAAATATATTAAGCCCTGTGGGCGCCATATTTATTCTAATCCAATTTACACATTCCGTTATTGCTCGTACTTCTGCCTGGAAGCTTGTGTTATGATTAGGTAAACGGTGGTATATTTCTGTTTCTGGGTCTTCAATATAGAACCCCAGACCCACTTTGTCCCCTAATTTAGAGCCATCCGTGTAGCAACGGATTCCTACTGGTATTTGCTCTAATGTTCCGCTTGACCAAGACATTCTATCTGGGATTAGCGTTTCAAAGTTTCCGACATATTCAGTGTCTGGTATGCGATCAGGCACGTCCGATGAATGTGTATAACCTTCCAATGTGTCCAGTATACATTGATGACGTGTCCTATAACCGTTTTTGGCCAGTTCGCCTAAAGTAAAGAGCCGTTCGGCTGTAAGCGCCGCCTCATATCTTATATATGTTTCAATGGGTGGAATATCTAGCAACGTTTCCAGAGCCTTGGTTGAAGTAGTACACATGGCACCACTTATACCCAAGCAGCATGTACGCTGAACTCCCTGTAGTAGTTTGATATTACACTTTTTGTCCAAAGCAGTCCACCAGATTATTGAAGCATAAGCTAGAATTGGTCTAATTACACTTTTATAAAGCCAATTTGTCATAGTAGGACTAAGACCCCATTTCATGCCTATGGTTCTCCTACATATCGCCCAGCACCGATGTGCCTTGTTGATCCTATCCTCTATGTGGTGTCTCCATTTTAATTTCCGGTCAAGTATTACACCTAAGTACTTAACTTTGTCTGTCACCGGTATCTTCTTGCCCAAGAAGCAAGGTTCAGTATATGTAGAAATTTTTGTCTTTCTTGTGAAAAGACAGATTTCCGTCTTCGCCGGGTTAACATTGAGGCCTCTCGGTTGAGCCCAGCTCAAGGCCGTATTCAGAGCCTCCTCAGCTCTTCTACACAAGTAATTTGGATCCTTTCCCTTTAAAAGTATTACGACATCGTCTGCATAGCAGACAGGTCTAAGTCCTTTCTCGGTTAGGGTCCTTAGGAGGCTATTAATCGTGGTGACCCAGAGTAAAGGTGACAAAATGCCACCCTGTGGTATACCGCGAAATACCTTTTTCCTGATAGTTATATCGTACATCTCGCAGCTTATCCATCTGTTCCTTAGCATGTAGTTGATCCAGTTACGGAGCACCCGGTCAACATAAAACTGGTCTAGGGATTGGATAAGGGTATCAGTGTGCACGTTATTGAAAGCGCCTTCGATGTCAATGCATACTGCCAGTGTATACAGTTTGCTATCGAAAGATTCACTTATGTAGTGGACAACTTCATTTAAAGCGGTCTCCACCGATCGTCCCTTTACATAAGCATGCTGCTTATATTTAAGGTCATTGTATGGTATGCTGCTTTTAACCATGCTATCGACTATCCGTTCCAAGGTTTTAAGTAGGAAGGACGTAAGACTTATCGGTCGATAGGACTTAGGTGTCGCATAGCTAGGTTTCCCTGGTTTGGGTATAAATATTACCCTTGCATCCTGCCATTTAACTGGGGTATATGCCAATTTTAAGCATGCAGTGAATATCTGTGACAGATGTACGGAAACCAGTCCCGCCTCCATCTGCAAAAGTGCCGGGAAAATTCCATCCGGCCCTGCAGCTTTATAGGGAGCAAAGCTCTTGATTGCCCCTTTAACCATGTCAGTTGTAATAACTATTTCCGTGTTACCCTCCCCTTCCTCCAATATCGGTTCATCTATGTTATTCGATATACCGGGTGGGAAATGAGAATCCATTAGGAGTTTCATTGTCTCCTCCATATCCTCAAGCCTCCTGCCCGTGTCATCGATCATAGATTCCGGTTGGACATGAGTTTTGGATAGGAATTTTTTTATCTTCGATACCTCATTTACGCTATCTACCTGTTCACAGAAAAGTTTCCAGGAGTCTCGTTTGGCTCTTCGAACGATTTTCTTATATTCACCAAGTTTATTACGATACTCATCCCAGTAT